GCCACTCTGTGCCCTGTGCACTCATTGAACCGACCAAGAATCCATCTGTAAATGCCGTCGGCGAACATCTTCCTCTGATTCGTGTTCAGCTCGTTGCAATTGGAAGCCTAGCCAGTCAGGTCAGTAAGTCAGTCAGCAAATGACCAATAAATTATAAATATCAAGAGTTCCATACACATGTATAAGCACCACATTGAGAATCCATCTGACTTTGGTCTCTTTTGTTTGTTGGAGACAACGCACAACTCAAAGATCAATTAACGCTGAGACGCCCTGAGCTACCAGTGAAGAAGTTTCTTGATGACTTTATCTTTTCCGCCATGTGTGTTCTCCACCAATGATTTGGTGCAGGTACGGTGCGTAGTATGCAGTGGGCAGCGAACATACCAACTCGGAGCCTCAATTGACCACAATGCAACTACTGAAAAGCTTATAGGCTGAAGAAGCTACCTGTTTTTGCTTACTATGATCTGATTGGACTTTAATATGAATCTGATTCAACATCAATGATTGGTTTCTTAGTTTGTTATTTTTCCACTGCAAGCCACAACTTGGGCTCCCCACCCGCATATCTTCTCTGCGAACTATTGCTATGTTGCCAACCCACACAGTTGTGGGGTTCAAATGCCAAGACGGTGGCCCTTTAGCGCGATCAAGACCAGCTCGGGCATGTGGCACTGGGTCAGTTGGAATCTTTCGCGTTCCAGTCTTTGGTTGAGACAGTGACAGTGGTTTGGGCTTTGCGTTTGGTTCATCAAAGACTTTGGCTTCAACTTCAACGGTGGACTCCATGCCGTTTGATACGCCACGGTGTTTGCGACGGCTAGCCGGGCGGCTAGCAGTTGCCGTTGCACTAGAATCACTCTCATGACCCTCTTGCGACATCAAATCAGTGTTTGTGTCAGTCTCAGTCTCCAAGTCAGTAGCCACATCAACATCAACTTTCTGTTTAGCCAAGCCAGTTGCAGGCTCAGAATCGCTGATGTCAACAATCTCAGGACCTGCAGACAAAGCCTTAGGACAACCACGACCACGTTGCCGTCCACGGCCCCGTCCATGTTGCTTCATTCCAAATCCTGATGAACCGGAAACAAGTCGTCGCCGTCGCCGGTAAGAGACATGGAAAGCAGAAATAGCTGGGGGGGAATATATGCTAGGCTAAGAGTGCCTAAGAGAGCATACTATTATTATGACTATGAGTCTATGAGTCTTTTTGTTTGAATTTGGTAGCGGTAGAAAACTCAAACTCAAACAGTGACAGTGACAGGACTCAGGACCAGTTCACTTTCCAATTCTAGATTCTAGCCGTAGTCGCTTTAGGTTTATCACCTCTCACCGGGTGAGTCTCACGGTCACCCACTCTCACCCCCCATTCCACTGCACTGCACCGCCAATTAATGAATAGACAACCAAGCCATCAACACCACCCAACCAACCCCGCAGAGTCTCTCTCTTCTTCAAGCTCGATGTTGATGCCCCGGGAAGACACAGCCTTCCTCTGCTGTAGCACCTTGTAGTATGAGTGGGACTGATTCGGAAGGACCTCATTCAAGCGTGTCGGCGCTGAAGACATGAAGGTCAAAAGAGTCTTGTAGAACTGACTCGGTTGGAAATGAGGCAGCTCCACAAGTCCTAGCCGAAAAAGAGCATCAGCAAGGAGTAGGGACCGCAGGTATGGAAGGTTCAATGATTTGCTAAAGTACCAAATCCTTCGCTCACCTGGTTTATAGCTTGGCACCTTCTTACTGGGCTGCCTCGCTTCATAGATCCATCCGTGACGACCTAGCTCCAGCATTGCTTCAAAGATGTCAAGTTCAGAGTAGTCAGAAGATGCGGAACAAGTGTGCAAACGATATTTTGCCAGCAGCACTGGATTCTGAAGAATTTGCGTGGCTTGCACGCATTGGAGACCTCGCTTGGTAATGCAAAACATATCCAGCTTCCCGTCAGCAACACCGACCTTAGACTTAGACGCTGAAGTTTAAAAAAACACCAATAATACCACCCGGTGCCGGCGCCGGCGCCGCAACCCGCTCACTGACCGCAGCATTGTCAGAGTAACAATATGCAGTGAAATACCTGACGCCTGACAACTCATTGCAGGGTGCCAACTGGCACCAACTAACCTTCTTTTTCAGTGGGTAGGGTGAGCACACTTCACCCTAAACAGAACAATTGATGACTTTAAGACTAGACGCCCATCTGTTGGTCAGCAAATGGTCCAAAGCGGGTGAATCACATTCAGGGCCAATATAGTATGCTGATTCACTAGAGAATGCACCAGCAATTGCCATGTTCTGCAAGAGGTCTGCGGCTTGCTGTGGCCTGAAGCGGTATTCATGCCGATTTGCAAGCAACCACTAACAAGTTGCACGTGTAGTGCGTGTAGTATAGTATTGTACACACAGCAGTAGCAGTAGCAGTAGCAGTAGCAGTAG